AATAATTAAATAAATTAAATTTCAAGTGTATTATCACATGAATGTGATATAAGAAATTTATAAATGGGATTCTAACATATAATAAATAATATATAATATATAATAATTATAAGATGATCACGTGATATATATATACACGAGAAACAAACGATTATTTATATTTAACATTATTTTTGCTATATTATATTCTGAAAATAAATCTTTAAATACAAGATAAAAAAGATATGACATTTTATGAGATTTCTGATTTGAAAATAATAAATATATATACATATTTATGTAAAATGTTCATAAAAATATGAGATATCTTTGGAAAGATTTTCAACATTCAAACAATGAAAAAACTATATATTCGATAAAGCTTAGTTATAATAAATTATAAACTTTTTAATTTTTAGAAATTTCAATAAAACACTGCGTTTATTCTATAATATAATTTTAAAAGAGAAAAATTAATTTTTATCCAGAAAAATTTGTATCGAGTAGCAATTTGAATCAAAATAAATCATCAAGATTTATTAGACCATATGTCACATATTTCATTTTGTTTGAAATTATATTTTAGCAAGTTTAAACAAAATTACATACATGATGCAATATATTCATTAAGACTTACAAAATAACATTATGCGAAAAAATTTTTCCAATTTAACATAAAGTAGTATTAATTAAATTGGTTAATAATAAAATATATAATATCATCATGAACATTTTAACTGCAAAAAAATATATTAAAAGATAAAAATATTAAAAATTTATATTTGTAATGTGATTTCAAATTACAAATTAATAAAATTAAAAGCAATGGACATAGAGATGTAATAATAAGTAAATTCGAATTCGATTTGTTTTTTTTTACACGCAAGATTATTTGAAAATATATTTCACTTATCTTGTAAAATATTCAAAATTACATTTTGAAAATATTAATAACAAAAATATCAGAAAAAGATTTTTTGCTAAAGTCTGAATTTTTTTTAAAAAAATATTAAATATCTTAAATAAAAAATGAATTAGTTAGAAATTATAAATTTTACCCTAAATTCTATCTAGTTAAAATACTTATTTGGTAGATTTTTCCATAAAATATATCAATTTGATGTCTATGCTCTTCATAGACTGATTCAATTTCTCTTTTAAAAAATAACATATTAGGGATGAAAGACGAACGTTAGTTATTGAAAATTTTTATTTAAAGAAAAAAAGATTTTTTTTGTACGTATTATTTATATATAAGGTTAGAATTTCAAATACAGAATCAGAATTTAATGATTTAAATAGAAATTATTATACATTTAATGCTAAAATGTAATAATATGAATGGAAAATTAAAAAAAATTAAAATCAATTCTCCTACTAAATTAATGTGATATGATCAATGTGAATGATTGTGTAGTGAAATGAACGATAAATGCATTGATCTAATAATACATTGCCTTCATCTATGTTATTTTATGATAATATTTTATCTATAATATTTGATCAGTTTAGTATTATATGCAAATCTATCAAAAATTTAATGTTCAATGTTAAGGATACCACAATACGATTAATGTTAAATATATACGATAATAAGATAAATGTTATAATTTATTAAATTGTTTATTTTTTATTTCAAACACATTTATCGCTCATTAATTAAAAAAATATTACATATATTTTTTTTACATAAAAAATTTACAATTTTTGAATGAAAAATAAATTCAATATTTTAATAAAAATATATTTATATTTATAATATTTTTTTCAATACATGTTACTTGATTTTTCTTCGAAATCGACTCATTAGATGCGATTCTATTAGTTTATGTAATTGATCAGTGTTTTTTTATTAATAAGTCATTAACAAAACCATAAACAAAAAGTTTTTGCAAAGGAAAGTATTACTTGAAATTATCTTTAGAATAAAATTAAAAAAATTAATCGGTGTTTCATTATTTTTAGAATATTTTGTATCAAGTTCTGATGTCTAACTAACCATAGATAATATATTATTGTTATTATTATCATTATCATTATCATTATCATTATCATTATTATTTAGAAATAAAAGTGTTATATAAACAAAAAAATATATAAATTTTATATTAATTTTGATTTGTGAAATTTTGAGATAAGAATGAAATATATATATATATATATATAAAAAATATATTATCATATATATATGTAGTATGTATCATGTAATATGTATATATATGAATGAAAATCAAATAAAAGAAAATAAGAAAATATTTTAGCAAGAAAATATATAAATTTTCAAATCACAATTAAATTGTATATTTTTTTAATAAAATAATCTTTCGATTAATTGAATGTTTTTCTAATATGTTTTTTCTAATAAAATAATTTTCTTTTTCAATCTTCTTTAATTGTAAATTGTATAAATATTTATAAAATTATTTTTCATAAATTCTTTAATTTAATTTATTATAAATTAATTAATTTATTATAAATTATTATAAATGAATTTATTATAAATTCATTAATTTCAAGATTAATATAATCTTTTATTAGAATTAATTCAATACTTTTCTTGATTTCTATAAAATAAAAAAATAAAAAAATAATACTTATTAAGAGAAAACAGAATAATATCATAAAAATATTTTAGATGATGATATTTTTCTGTTTTCTATATATTTAAAATATCGAAGAAATTTTTTATCTTTTGTTACTAATTAGATATCTAATAAAATGTTTCATCTAACTTGATTATTTCAAATAATCAATAATTGCTGAATGTTGTAATGAATTTTATGAAATTTATAAAATATGGAATTAAAATAGCTTTGAAGAGAATATTTTATAAAAGTATTTTTTTAGTAGTGATTTCTCAGTGATTTTTTAGAGATTTTATGTTCATTTTTTTAAATGGAATGATCTAGTATCTAGAAATGATCTAGTAATCTAAATCTCATATTTAATGAAATATTAATAAAGTAATGTTTAATATATATTTATATATTATAAATTAATATATATATTATAAATTAAAATAAATTTACTTTTTAATAAATAAACAGCATTTTTAAATATTTATGAAGTATGCATATCACACACTTTTTAAATTGTTTGTTTAATATTTTCTTATGTCATAGATGAATTAAAGTACATTTTATTTTTTAAAATTCTTCACAAGAAAAAATCTAACAGACTAAAATCTAATGAATCTACCACGGAAATTCTCCTCATTAAAAATTTTCATCATTACGATCGATTTATCGACTGGGAAATTGTTTCTGGGAATTGTTTGTAATTCTAATATGCAACAATTATAATGCTGAATTATATTAATAAGCGGATATATTGTTATACATCTATAACAAGTCTAATAATATATCCATAAACTTTTGCATTTCTTCTAGTATTCATGAATATGTGATTCAATTATCTTATTACTGAATATACTATATTATAAAATTGATATTGTATTGTTGTTAACAGAAATTAGTAAATTAGTAATGTAGATAGAAATTATCTAATGCTTTGTGATCAATAATACATGTTTTTTTTTAAATTAATATGTGATTAATAAAAATGTAAATAAAATATTTTATAGGAAAGAATCATTTTTTCCAAGTAATAATAATAATAATAATATAATACATAACTATTTTATTTATTTATAAAAATTTTTGATAAAATCAACTATGAACATATTATATTGAAGTTAAATGATATCAATTCGAGCAGCTATTTACTTCTAGCAGCTAATTTCGTAATAATAAGTACATATTAAAAATTATTTTGTTAATAATTCGTTAAATATATATTTAAAAATAAATATATTGAAAAATATGTAAAAATATAAGATTCAGATTCATTATTAGTTTTAATACATTTTTAAAGAATAAATTATTCCATTTAGAAAAAATCAAAGTAATCTTGAAAAAAAAATCTTTATAAAAAAGCAAATACCTTATGATATGTTTACATTCCACATCTTAAAATTTTAATAATATAAAATGTACTTTATTTAATAATTTTATTTATTATTATATATTATTTTTATCAAATTAATTAATATTCTATTGCATATGTGAAGATTGAAATAGACAATTTAATAATTTAATAATAGCAATAATATTTTTGTTTTTCATTTTGTATATACATATATATGTATATAATTCTTTGGAATTGTTACTTTTCAAAATTTTTATTCTGTGTTAATTAATCAAAAGAATATTCCATAAAATAATAAGCAATAATACATTAAAATAATCTTGCAATAATACATTTCAATAAATTTATTTCAGTGAAAATATATTTGATTTCTAAATTATATAGTCATATCTCAAAAAAAATTATCTTATAAAATAAAATACCTTATAATATAAATATGTTTGTCATTAAATTATTCCATGATATTTTGGTAAAATTTCTTATTTTTAAGTAAAAATAATTTTATAAGTCATATTTGTTTATTTTAACTACAAAAATTATTCACATATTTTGATTATTTGTATTATTATTCATTTTGTCACGAATTCTGATTAAATATCTATTATATATTAGTAATTATTTATATTTTCCATTTATCGTTTAAGATTGTATTCATATCGTAATATTTCTATTTTGTAACTATCAGTTTTATGAGAAACGTATATTGTTACTATACGATTAAATTACATTAAAGTCTCTTTAACTGTAGTTTTTCATAAATATCACGTTTAAGCTATTATAGAAAAAATATTTGTTTTTTGTTTTACGTAAAAGAATATTTTTTTAAATACTACTTCCAAGAAAATTTTAGTTCTGTTGCAAAATAATTCCCCTTTGCATCTGTCTTACAACATATGCTACGCTAATATATAATGCAATCGATAATTATTACCATCGGTTTACCAGAAAGAATGTGTTACAAGAAATCACCAACATGTTATTAGTTGATACACTGAGTATTATTTATTAAATATTCTATGTTCAAATAATATCCTACATATCTCACTACTGTATCAGTTGAATTATATTTGGTTTGATTCCTAAGAGAAATAATTTCTTGAAACTATGTTGAAATATGTAACTCCAGAAAAGAGTATTTATATTGTTTGGCTTAGTGTAGCTTTGTCTCTTTGTTGGCCACTTCCTGCCAGTAGTACCAGAAAAAAAATTATGTGTATAAAAATTTTACAAATTAGTGCCATAATTAGCGCTTTTATGGTACTTTTACCTTTAATTTACGCAATTCACTTGAATATACACAATTTAATCAATCTTTTTAAATATATTTGTTTATTGATATGTGTATTTCAAAATATTATACAAACTATCATATGTTTTATAAAATATGATGTTTTACAAGTAAGTTTTTATTAATTTATTCTTATTATTTGATTAAAAAGATATATATCTTAATTACAAGTTATAGCGTGTAGTCGAAGAAATGATGACATGTGTTAAAGAAGAACAACTACATAAAGTTTTATGCATGTATGTCAAGAAATGTAATATTTTCTACGGAGGAACTATTATATTAACATATGGAGCTGCAACTGTTTTTGTACTAGGACCAACATTCTTGCCAATTTCTTTTCCATGGGAAACAGAATATCCATTTCAAATTAATGATACCTCAAGAAATATTATATACGTCCATCAATTTTTCTTTACTTATCAATGTGCTGCACATATATGCTTAAGCTTATTTGGAGCACTTCTTCTTTGGTTTGCGGCTGCAAGATTTGAATGTTTAGTTGAAGAATTACAGAAAATTACAAATATTGATATGTTGATCATTTGTTTTAAAAAACTATTACTTTTAAGAAGGTATGTTTTTTATGTTAGTTAAATTATTCATTTTTTGTTTATTTTAAATAATTTAAAGTATTTAAAGTATAATTTTAAGTAATTTTTTTGTCTAGATATGCAGAGGAAGTGGTGAGCTGTATTCGTTTTTTGGTATTTTATGCTATAGCAGTAGGCACATTTATGCTGACTTTATCTGGTATTATAATGATCATAGTAAGTAAAATTTATGATACTATGACTACGATGAATTAATATTGCAATTTATAAACAGAATTCGCCAACACTTGTAAAAATTCAATTCATAATTATATGTATGTCTTCTCTCATGGAAATTTATATGTATGCATGGCCAGCTGATCACATACAAGATACAGTAAGTTATATTCATATTTTGAATTACAAAATTAACGGATCACGAAAAATTGTTATTCGTTAAGAAAAGTTTCATAATTCAGTTAGATTGTATTGCAAAATAAAATTTATATTGTTTAATTGATTTTTCTTGTGGATTTTTTATCATTACGTGAGTTTTTTATCACGAAAAGTTTGGTTTTCTTTTTTCTAAGTAAATTGTATTGAATTTAATAATTCTTAATTTTAAAATTAAATTAAAGAAAAAAATATACTAGCTTCAAGATATATCAGAAAATTGTATGATTGAATATTTTTTATTTTATTTATTTGTTTAATGAATTTGTTGAATCGATGTATGATAATATTGTTATAAGTGATGAAGTGGTACTTTGAATTAAATAATTTAATATTAATAATAATTTTTTATTCAAAGTGCAATAAAATAATAAATCTGATTTAGAAAAAATCCATTTTTACATTCATTTTTTTAATATATAAAAATATATATAAATTAACTTAACAAAGTAAAAATAGAAATGTTTTCCTTCAATATATGTTATATAATTTTTTTATAAAGGTACAATATTTAATTTAAAATATTTAAATTCATTTACGGTGTGCAATTTATAAGATTTATTTTTTCTTAAAAATAATCAATCTTTCATAATTTCTAGAGTATAAACATTTTACGAAGTGCATATAACTCAATATGGTATGAACAGAGCTTAGATATGCAAAAGGATTTGCTGATTATATTGATGTATCAAAGACCAGTAATTCTTTCCATTAATGTTCTGTTACCAGAGCTTACTTTACGTTATTATTGTTCGGTAAGATAAATTCAACATTCAAAATGTGCATTATGATGAAGGAGTAAAGTAAACAGAATTAAATATAAATTAATAACATTTCAGTATGTGGCAAATGCTTTCTCTATTTTCACAGCTCTGCGAGCCGTGGTAGAAGATAAGTGAATATAAATGTATTTTAAATTGTTATATAATATGTCTTCATCATAATAATAATAATCATAATAATAATCATTATGATAGTCATCATTAGAAAATGTGATAAATGATCATGAAATTTTATAATTCTATAAATTCTATAATTGTTAAAATTATCAATATTCTTATATTATTGAAAATAAATATATTTGTATATCTATATATTAATTTTTTTATATTAATAAAACATAAAGTTTACTAATATTTCAGTATACTTAATTAAATAAAATTATTGTATTATACAAAAAGTAATTTTATTTTCTTTTTAATTTTATCATTTTTTTAATTAGAATATGTATTAAATCAACATACAGTAAATATTTAAAAAATGAAGAACATTTTTATGATATTCTTATGATGTAACATTTTTTATAAAATTAGATTTTTTTGTAGTTGCATCATGACATGTTTAATTATTTCTAATTTGATGTTGGTGTCAATTCATATAATGATATATAAATAATTTTTTTCATACTTCTAGATAGAATTTTTTCTACTTCTTTAAATTCTTTTGTGAAATACTGTTATTTTTTTACCAATTTCGTAATTTATATTTCTTTAATAATAACAACATAAAATATCAAAAATCTTTTATTTAATAATAATTTAATAAATTGAATCTCAAAAATATTATCACATATATAAACGAGATATAAAAAATTTATAGATGAAATATCCTATTTAATAAAAAATTATATATATCTAACTAATTACTTTTTAACTAATCTTATATCCTATATCCTATGTGATATCCTTCAAAATAAATCTCAAATAAGATACAAAATAAATATATCTTATGAGACTATAATTCCATATAATACCGATGGCGAATCGGTACGATATTTGGAATGAATTATTGGTTTTTAAAATATTATTGAAAAACTTTTAATAACATCTGTTAAAAATTGTATATATAGACGTTATTAATGTATTCAATAATACTATTAAGATATTATTAATGTGATATGTTTTTGCTATAATATAATGGTATTCAAGTGACTAAGTGAAAAAATGCTTGCTATCTTAAGATATTTTATTTATAATCAATCAAAAATTTAACAGTTTTTTTCAAAAATTAAAAATATATGATTTATTAAATACTAATACTTATACTAAATCAAATATTTATATAGATTTATGTTTGATTTAATTATTTCATTGTTGGAATAAAAAATTGGAATTAATATTTTTAAAAGAATATGAAGTACAAACAAAAGTAAAAAAAAAATAATGTAAAAATATTTGCTCTACAATTGCTATGGACATATTTCGAATTGAAACTATTTTGTGTTGGGTATTAAGTTAAGTAGGAATTAATTGAAAGCAGTTCTCGTGGAAGTTACAAATATTTGTGAATATTCATGAAAACATTTAAAAGTTTTGCGTAAAACTTAGATGAATGAAAAACTTATACGCTATAGATAATGACAAAGCTGTCATTATGTTATCAGTTATGTATGATTTAATTCGATATACAATGACAAATGATATAATGAAAATAATTATGTTAATGATATTTGTCTATGCAGCTTTTAATAATTTCAATATATAGTTTTTTATTAATATCTTGATAAATTCTTGAATCTAAAATATTTGCCTCTTTTTTCAATTTTTTCGTGATAATTCACACATTTCATCATATGAAATTTTATTCTTTTCTGGTTACATCATAAGAATATCATAAAAATTTTACTTCATGTAACATGTTTTGAAATACTGATTTGCAAAAAAAAAGCACATTGTTTACTATAACTAGACAAGTAAAATTTTAATTAAAGTTAAAAATAAAATTACTTCAATTTGTAATTCGAACTTTTGAATAACTTCAATTTACTGTGCCAGATGAAACTAATCGAAATTATTTGAGAAACGATCAACTAGTTATGAATAAAAATTAATCATCGCAACTATCATTTTAACTTAATTTTATCAAAGATTCCAAATATGTCAAAAGTGAGAAATTTTTATTTATTATTTATTATTTATTTTTATTTATTTATTATATAATAAATAATAAATATAATATTTTTATTAAAGACAAAAACTAAGACTGAAACGGCTAAGATAGTTTAAATTATTATTTTACTTTTCAATAACTTTATTATTTTCAATAATTTATATTTCCTCAATTTAAATTTTTAGCAATAATTTACAAATAAATATAATTTACATTCCAAACTTTCAAAAGCAGTTATTCAAGAGATTAAAATAAAATAATGATGATTGCAAATTATATTTGTGCGCCATGCTTTATAACGACTTCCAGAAAAAAACGATTGCATGAATTTTGCTATTCCTGAAAATCGCATTTATTATTAACTCTTTTTCATCCTCTTTTAACTACATTTTCGCCAAAAATAATTATTGAAGATAAAAGCAAAATCTGCAACAATTTCCGCAAAAATCAGAATTCATATCAAATCGCAATTAGTTATCGTAGAAGTCAAATATATTCAATTTAGATAAGTCAAAATATAGATTCCGATCTGAAAACCGTGAAATCAAATTACATTTGGTTAGCAATTAAATATCAGATAGAAACTGCGGAATTCAATCAGTTATCAATTAGTCGTAAAAATAATATAAAGTCGATTATCATTAAACTCATTCAAAACAATATAAACAGTTACATAATCTTATAACACATCCTTTGAGCGATAGTATTTAGTCAAGACATTCCTTTTCGTGCAATATTTAAAGTCACATTTTGTTGGACTTTAATATTCGATTCTTTCAGTCATTCAACATAATCAAGAAATGAATTCAGAAATAAACTCAACTAAATCAATACCCATTAAGTAATTAATAATAGGAATTATCATTAGGAAGGAATTCATTCAACTTCATTATTAGAGATCCATTACTGTGTTGCTGATTCATTCTGAAAAGAAGCCATCAACACAGAAAGCTACATCCATTTACATTCAACGACATTCAGCACAACAGCATCAAATCTCAACTTGCCGTTTCATAACCAATATTTTGACAACAATCAACTTTTAGCATCATTAATCTATTTTGCCATCTAATTCGGATAAGTGAATTCTCATTGCTTAGCGGAGATGGAATTCAATTGACAACATTAGTGAGTGAATGTAGTTTCATTACGATATCGGTGACAAAATTTAAGAAATTCTTCAAAGAATCCGAATTGCAATTGGTAGCATTTATAGCGCTTAAAAATGTATGATGTATAAAATTCTTAAGACAGATATTATAGCATTTACAGCATAGAATAAATTATCGCATGTATCGAGTTAGAATCATTGCATGTAGCTTTTCGCGATGATTTTGAAAATCAGAAGCCACAGGAGGCGCACGTCAATAAAGAGAAAAAAGAGTCTTTTTTCATTGTTAAGTTCGATTATGTCTTCCGAATATTGTTACCCAGCAGCAATATCTAATAATTTCGCCGCAAAAAGATTTCCAATGATGAAAAAAAGTACCAAAGATTGAATCAACTTCAAATATACTTTTATCTTATTGATTCAGAATAGTGAATGAAAAGATTCGAACTTGCAAAGATTATTTGCAGGCAACGAAAGAATTACGCTACTTGTAATAATAATTCAATCTTTGGACGTATTCAAAACAAACTATATATATATATAGTATATAGTATATATATAGGCTAATTTGAAAAACAAACGCGATATGAGATGAACGCCGTCATCACGTGAGCGTGTTTTAAAAATTATTATCGATTAAAAATAAATCCTGCATCATATTAACAGGATTTATTAATTTGATAACACGAACAATCATGTTCTCATGTTGAGAAATTAGACAGTAAAAGACAAAATCGTAAAATATTTTCGTATTGGAAATCTTTGTATTGTATCTTTTTAGAAATTTATTTTTTTTTTTTTGGACATTAGGAGAGTCTAAAAAAAAAGCGGATATTAACTTTAATGCATAAGCTTATATTCAAGGATTTCTGCGATTTCTTAGAGAATCGGTCAATATATTTAAAAAATTTCACGGCGAATAATCAACAACATTCTAAGCTCAACATGAAACAAATCCATCAGTATATCGATCGGAACAATCAGCAGTATTTGCAATTATATCTCTTCTGTATGTTCATCTTATCTGGATAACCACCCTTTATTACAATAGAAGATGTTCAAAAAATTAAACTTAGAAAAAAAAAAACAAAAAATATTACAGCATGTAAGATTTTACTTCATTTGGGATTTTACAATTAGAATAAACATGTTGATTTCATAAGTGCAAACATTACATATTATTACATCAACATAATCTTCGAACAGAAAAACACAAAGTTTCTTCTACAGAAAGTTTCGGATTGAAAAAGAATAGTTAGAATAATACAACAAATATATCAACTTCATTTGTATCACAAATATTGTATTTCATTTATTGAAAAAAATATTTCCATTTATGAAAAAAATATCATATTATCAATCGCATTTATAGAAATAAACAGAAAAGTTGAATTCTATTAAATTCAAACTTTCAGCATAATTTCATTACGCAAAAATATAAAAAATTGGCAATAAAGTATGACGAACAAAAAATTAAATATTTCGATTATCGGGAGTTTATTAATTTCATAACATATATTAATATTTTTTCCAGATGAAGTAAGTTTAGCATCAGCATCCTATATCTGATTATAGATAAAATTATAATAGATATATCGAATCTCCTGTTAATTAGAAAAATTAAAGATATCGCCACATATAGGATTAATCAATTCTTAGTTTAATTAGTATATAAGAATAAACATGTTTATCGGAGCGAGTACATTTTGGATATTATTATATAGAGCAACATCAGCAAGGTTCTCGTAATAATAATAATATATATATATAATATAATAATATGTAATATAATAATATATTCCATATTATACATATATATAATAATATATTATATGTAATATAATAATAAATATTATATTATATTAATAAATAATATTATCGTTGAGTGAGCAATGATAT